TAGCAATAATAATTTCTAATTCCTACAATATTTGAAATGTCCTAAATCGTTCGCACAGTATTTGTGATGTCACACTACTGGACTGGCTCGAAAAAGACATGGCGTTACATTTAGGAAACTACGCTGATTTTTTTTACAAGCAACAGTCGGTATTCAAATTGGAAAAAGGTAGACATTAAGATTATTCGTGGTATCATTAATGAACACCACAATAAACAGTGGACCAAGTATCGTACCCTGAGGCACACCTGCTGTGTTATACAGGGTGACTCATAATTAGTGTCTTGATTCTATTGCCAAAAATAAGAATATTTTTTCATATAAACATAGGTCGAAAAATGTTTCCTATGGCAGCTATGCCCCCTAAATGGGTCCTCAAAAAATTCATTTTTTTCAATATATCCGAAATGGGTTGGAAAATCATGAATTTTGACATCGTGAACGCTAATTAAAAGTCGAAATAGTTCATCATAAAATTTTTCAAAAATTTTACTCAGGGGCGTCTCAATTCTTCTTAGAAATAGAGCATTTTATCGAAAGAAATAAAGAGTACCTTTTTTGTAGAGGATATGAAGGTCTATCATATGTTGGCCTCTGAATTTGAAAATTTCGACAAACAAAAAAATTGGGGCAAATATTAGCCGACGACCCCCCAATTGAGACGTGTCAAAATTCATAATTTTCCTTCAATCCATTTCGGAAATATTAAAAAAAAAAGAATTATTTGGGGCTCCTTTTAGGGGGGCGTAGCTCCCTTAACAATCATTTCTCGACCAATATTTATATGAGAAAATATTCTTATTTTTGTCAATAGAATCAAGTGGTAAATTAGTGGCCATTAATTATGAAACACCCTGTATATCAGATTTGTAACCACGATATTGTACAAACTGAATGCGATGGGAAAGATATGATTTCACCAAGTGTAAAAGAAACAACTTTTATTAAGCAACTGATGATCTAAAACGTTACGTTTTAAATTGAAAAAAGGTTTAAGTAAATGAAGGTTTAAACAAATTTAAAACCGTCCCTGGTACAGCAGCCAGCTGTACCTTTGATATCGAAGCTGCCGCACGCCGCAGTCCGAAAGCGCTGATGGCAGTTATGCGGGTTTAAACTTTTTGCTAGGCAATTTGTCAACAACTGAAATTTATGGCTCAGTCGCCCAGTGCGGCTGTGTTTGTGCGCTGTTTGCACGTGCCCGCATTCTTCAAGTGGGCGTATACATTTCTACCAGCTCCACGTTTAGTTCGACAAGATCTGTATATAGGTATGGCTAAATAAATGTTGAAACAAGTTTTTCAAATATTTCAATGCCGAGTTGCTGCGTAGCGACCGAACCTGGTATATACTGCCTAGATCTTTGATCTTCAATTGAGATCGGATGGACTATAACGGACCGCATACAAACAACAAGTCTTATTTAAATTGTACTGACATTCTCCATACATTAACATCATATCTGCTAGTTCTTGATCAGAAAATATTTTATAAGTAAGTTAAATAACACATAACGCACGTGCACAAGATGCGCAGGCTCGGTTGCATTTACGGTTAATTTTCTTAATTACTTTTCTCGAAAACAGAAGCATTTAGACTTTAGATCGTCAATGGCTTAATAAAGGTTGCTCATTTTCGTACACTCTTATCATCCTTTTCAAATAATGCATTTATTTCAGAAACATCCTGTATATCCCCAAATTATTTGGGATAAGTTGTGAATCTTCTCGTCTTTTCATCCACTTTGTTACTGTACCTATGCGTCGCGTAGCCTCACCGGAGAGCCACTTCCTTCGGGTGAAACGCCGTCCACGTCAGCATATTCAAACATCACGAATCGAACCTTAACGCTAATGATAGGAATTAGCCGGCCGGCCGATCCACCGCTAATACGTAGTTTAGTTACAAATTCAGCCTCCAGGGGGATAATTTACCAAATTACCCACCATAACACTTCAAAATAAACAAGAAAACAAGCCACAATCGCCTCGACATGATCGTGTACTGTTTATTTAAATAAGTGCGGCTCGTCCGTACGGTTATTTACGGCCGTGGTCGGTTCTCTAGTAGCGACCTCGTTAGCGCCCTCTCGCGGACGGACCGCTCATCATTTTAATAAGGGGCAGAACGTGGACGGGGGTCACTCTCCTCGCCAATTGAATCTTAATTTCGCTTTATCCAATTTGCTGGAATTATGTAAATTGGGGGGCTCTGCGTCTTTACGATCCGTTATGGCTCTTTTCACATGGAGAGCCGAGGATATTAAATTGATAGGGGACAAGTATCGTAATTTGGTGCTAGAAAATGGCGCTGCTCCGCGCTGAAAGTGTTTGCCGTCACGGAAGATTATAGTTATATTCCTAAAACGATTCGAACATCGAGGATACGCGCAGATATTACGGCAATTATAATGACCAGCAAATATATTTATTTATATCCATCTTCTACAAAAGCAGAGACGTCTCAGGCGTGTCAGTGCGTGTCATAAGCGTATGAGCGTAAACGTGTTTCTAATTTTATCTGCTCCCACTATTTTAAGGAGGTAAGTGGATTTTACCGTAGAAGTGGAAGTTGCTAGGAAGGTAAGTGAGGTAAAAAGCGATTTCGAGTATTAAATGCATATTTTGTGAACAAATAAATAGAAATATTTGATGAACATTGTTAATATGGATATTCTGCATTTAAAACTAGTAATGATCAATGATATTACATAGTACAAAAATAATAATCTTTTAATTTTATCTGCATGACGTCGACACTTGCACTCAGTACATAAAGAAAAACGAATCTAAACATAGAGTGACTTAAATCGAATGAAAGTTTAAAGTCTATAGATTAATCTGGTATACATATCGTTGGAAGACGAGTAAATTTAAAAAAGATATATCAATCCAACATAAACCATAACATGAAAATTTTCATCGATTGTCAAATTTTATAATAAATTTCACAAATGTCAAAGCTAAAGGAGGCTTTGTAAAAATACCCGGAGATGACCTAAAAAAACATAAAATAAAGAATATTTTATTAATTAATTCATAGAATTACAAAAATAAAAGGACATTTGTTAAAAATATGTTAGTTATAAGCAGTGTTGTGAAAAAGTGATTGAAAAGGTCACCCAAAGACTGAAAAATTATGTGTGGACCTTAAGCAAAGGTTAAGGGACAGAATATTCAGGAAGTATGAGAAAAACAAAAAAAATATAGATTGGTTACGGCTTGGGTTTTGCAAGATGTACAGCGTGGAGAGGCAGTTCTCGAAAAATTAAAAATAAATCAAGAAAAAACAGTCCAAGAAAGAAAATTAAACACTCATCAGTTAAATTCACAGTTTGCCAAAGTCCAGAGAAAGTTATTTTGTCATCCTATTAAAATTTTCCGCTACCAGCAGTATAAGCAGTTCCAAAATAGTCTGCAAGGCCTCTACGTAGTTTCCAGCAAAGAAAACTTCAAATTTTACAACGTACCAGGTACCTAAAACACAGTGCACTATAATATTGCTAGCTATCACCAATGAATCGTGCTTTCTCTCGCATCAAATCTTTGCAAAGTATAAATAACAAACCACAGGACTTACCTGTACAGAAATAAGCATAATCCAATCACTTGTAACTTAAATATTTCACTATTTTCACGAGTTCTGACAAAATCTGTCAAATGAACAGCCATTTTACTTTAGTCTGAATCATTTTCATTCCTGTGTAGATATAAGAGATGCCCCTGTCTGATAGGCAACCATTCTCGCACTCTATTGCCAGCCCTCGCTCCGCTCGGGCGCAAAATCGTCCTCGACTGGTAAATAATACTTACTTCCTTTATAGTGTAAATAACTATTACAATTTAGTTGGAACCGTCCGGCTACGAATGGCCAGTCTGATAATAATAATCAGGGTAGTCGTAAACCATCGAATTTTACAGATCAAGAAGGTAATACACAAGGGAATTCGAGCACGAAACGCAAACATGTGTGTGAGTAATTCTGCAGAATGTACAATTCTTTAACAAAAGTGTCTGTTAGAATGTTTACCATGCTTTAAAAATGATAAAAATGCAAAAAAGACAATAAGATTTTGCAATGACTATCATTATTATTATTAATAACAATTATTATCATTATTACTACAAAATATTTCCTGAATCAAATACAGAGGGTACGAAAATTAGCATCTTTTATTAAGCAACTGATAATCTAAACGCTTCTATTTTTGAAAAAATTAATTATGAAAATTAACCATAAAATGTAAGCCGACCCTGTGCATCTTGTGCACGTGCGTGGTATGTTGCAGTATTACTTAGACGGTGTATAAAACTAACAGTACCGTGTGGCGTGTACTACGGGAATAATTATTACACCCCTATCATGTACAAAGGGTTCAGGCATTCCACGCCTCTTTCCACGGCTACCTCGACTATGTAATATTTATCACTTTGCAGCTATGCAAGCCTGGATTTTAATCTCAATTATTCGTAAACGGTTCGCTTTACCAATTTCGAACAGAATATCTTTTCTTGCAAAAAACCCTTCTCAAGTAACACCAATGAGAGTTTTTTAGTTTTCTCCCCACCTTCTTCGAGGATCACAACTCCCTAATTGCCCTTAATTTTCAATATTCTATCACTTGTTCAAATATTTGTATTGAATTTTTAATCACCCATTAGCCTTAGTAATTTATTTTTGTTAATTAAAGGAAAACCATTTGTAGAACTTTTTTATATTTCAGTCAAAACTAGCATTAAACATTAAATTATAAAAGTTCAATTAAAATGGCGGATGTCCATTAAGGCAATTGCCCTTTGCCAGTCTTTAGTTTAACTTCTACATCATGTCATGTGTCATCACAAAATATCTACGGATCTGAAACCGACGATTTACCTTAGAACAAAATATGCTTTTTATGTCTGTAACATTTTATTTGATCTCTTCTTTTTCTTTAATATATTCAGAAAATAAAAAGCTACTTACTAAATTGAATGAATACGATAATTGTGTGATTGTAGAGTGATGATAACTCTTTGTCTAAGGTCTATGAACAACTGCTCCTTTCCCCTCAAACGCCGCCCATGCCCGCAATCGCTGCACCTTCCTACACTTGCCCAATCGGTTACCATGGGAATATGACATCGATCAAACGACGAGAAGCTTCAGACGTATGTCATCGAGCAGCATTTTGTTAATTATAATAATACTTAGGCCTTAAAAGGCACAGTCATGTCGCAGCGATATTCCGATTACGATTTCCTAAATGATTCGCTCACTTACGACCAATTCAGGCCAGGGGAATACCTTATGGACGAAGAAGAACCGGAACGAGTACCGGAAAAACAAAACTCCCTTGAAAAGCTGAACGACCAACAGCTGATAAACGCGGTAAACGGCAAGGAAATACAAGTCCGTCACTTGCGTCTGGAGAACAAGGTATTCACTAACTTTTTACAGTCCAACGATCCGACCGAATTGGAAGGCGTCGAAAACATACTCAGCTTCGCCTTGGCCAGAATCTTGGATAGAAAGGAAGGCTCTCTTGGAAGATTGCCTATGCCCGGCCCAGACCTCTTAAGGGCTTCGTGCTCGAGCGCTCGCCGCAGCATCAGACTCGACTCCTTCAGTAGTATGTCCTCGATCTTCGAAGGAAGGGGTCCCAAAGTTAACCTATCCCAGAAATCCGACATGGTCTTAAAGGCCATGGAAGAACTTCAATCCAAGTTGGAAGTTTTCTCGAAAAAAGCACACAGAAACAAGCGCAACGTTAAGGCCGAGCTAGAGGAATACAGCGTTCGAGAAAAGGACATCAAGGAATCAGTGGACAGTTTCGAATTCAACATACTAGTGCAAGGAGTCGATCCCTTAACCCAGAGAATACCAGCGGAAAAGTTCCTGCGGTGGATGGAAGAGTGGCTGAAGAGCGCACAGTTAAACATAGAAAAACTGAGACTTCGAACTGCTTCCTTGAAGATACAATACAAGAAGGTCTCCGCGATTCTACTTCAGAGGCAGGAGCTGGGAGAAAACGTCCACGCAGTGGACTTCGACCAGATAGAGATCGAAAACAAACACTTCGCAGAAAAAATAGAGCTGAAGAACATCCAACTCGTGGAACTGAAAAGGATGAGCGGGGGCGCCAGTCTGGTGCTGACGAACAACAAGAAGGGACTAAGGAAGCTGCAGGACACGTACAATGAACGGAAGGCTGCTGTGGCGGAAAAGGAAAAGATGATCGAAGAAACGCAAGCGGAATGTAGGAAAATCGAAGCGGAGATGGACGAGGCGAAGGAGAAGTACAACAACTTCAAGAAACTTACGACGTCTTACAAGGTGCCGGATGTGATGGAATACGTTAATATAAAGAGGCAGCTCAACGATTTACAGAACAAGATAAAGGTGTGGAATCGTCGGAAAAAAATTCAGGACATCACAATCAACGCGTGCCTCCGACAGATGAAGAATATCACCGGCAGTTCGAAGATTGACCGCGCTTGGTTGGAGGACCTCACTTCAGAAGGTACCATTGTATATTATTTTTAGTCACGGTGTGTGTTCATTTAATGGTCGTTTCTCTCAAACCTTTACGTTTGGGTAGTGAAAAACATTTCATAGAAATATAAATGAGACGGAAAAGGGCACACTTTAATATCAAAGAAATATATAAAAAAATAATTAACTGTTGCGTTTCCAGGATATAAACCAAACCTTTGTTTTTTTCTTTTAATGGAACACTCTATACTTGTCGCTTATTGGAATTCCCACCTTTTTTTTTAAATGCATTAATAAATGTAACAGAGAAAAACATGCCCACGCACTGGTTTCATGGCAATCTCGACTATATGCAGGATCAGTAAATAAAACTAGTAAACAGCAACATCAGTAAATAAAAAAAAAAACGAAAGTTTGTTTATATCGCCGAAATACAACATTCAATTATTTTTTTTATATAACGAGCGTTCAAATAAAAACGTGGTCGAAGTTGGCTCTGACACATTGGACGTAGGGAGTCATGATACAACCATACAGAGATATGATATTGCGCATGCACGGCGCCATCTTGGCTTCCTTGCTGACGTCATGTGGTAAGTCAAAAAGTAAACAAACAGATCAAGGCCATATTCTTATAAGTAGTGTTGTGTGCGTTTTTCCAAGTTTTTTTTTATAGATCCTGCCTGTATTTCTAATTTAATTCGTTGTGTGAGCTTGTGCTTCATTGGGCAGAAAAAGGAAATTAAAGAAAATTGTTAAATAGAAGTTCAATCACCGCCTATCGTTTAAATATCTGCACAAAACCTGTTGCGTTTGGGTACTGAATTGTTAATTTATTACGAAAGCCTACCCCATGACAACAAATAATAATGTTTAAAATAAGTAATACTGTTTTTATTTAGTTTTGTATTTATATTTTTACCTCATTATTAAAATTAAGGGCTACAGTGTTAAAATTTTTGTTTTATACTTTATGTAAGAAATCGAATGCCTTTTTTAAATAAAAATCACTAAAAAAAATGTGTATTTGCTTCTTATCTCTGTCACAAAGGAATAATTTTGGAATCACGAAGTGGCGTATCTGACTTTGAACATAAGTAATAATCTATGCAAATATTACATAATATGTCAAAATACATTAAAACTAAAAAAATGTATGTTTAATTTAATAATAAATGAAATAATATAGTTTTGAAAACGGACGTCTCTTTCGTTTTTACGCCGCTCTCTTGTAAAATTATTAAAATGCTAGTTACGGTAGTTCGTGTTTTTAGAGACNGGCGCATTTTCCATTATTTGTTGGACATTTTCTTTTAATTCTTCAGTCCGCTTTTTAGGTCGGCCGCTTCCTTCTTTTCTTGTTACACTGCCCGTTTCACGAAAAACATTAACACAACGCTGAACTGCACTTTGAAAAATTTTGTACTCAACAACGCCGGGAAATTGATTTTGAAATTCTATGAAACATTCCTCAATAGAATACTTCCATATTCCATCAATCTTGCGTCCATTTCTAAAGTAGGACTCTATGATAAACACTTTTTGTTCTTGAGAAAACACCATTTTAAACGCTTTTTAAAACGAAAATATTCAAATTGATAGCGGCGATATAGCGCTTTGACAGATGACGTTTAAGTTCATTTGCTATACGCTACGCCCTACGTCCAAATTTCCAGAACCAACTTGACCACGTTTTTATTTGAACGCTCGTTATTTCTTTGAGATCCCAAGAAAATGTCCTAAAATGTTTGTGTTTATTCCTTGAAAAATATAAGGGGAAGAAACCCTGTATATAGGATGTGGCAAAAAGTGTGGAATACAAATTTGAATTTTTTTCTAGTTTCAGTCTCTTAAGTCCTTTATGCAGGCTGTTTTTAAAAGAAGTAGGGCTAATGGTAACGGTAAATTTAGCTAAAACGTTTTGCATAAAAATGACCCTAGTTAAATGTCCACCGTCTAGTAGAGGCAGCTTCGCAAAGTTTCCAAAAATAATTGGAAAAAAGGTATTAAAATCAAATTTTTCACATATTTTCTACTAATGCATGTGCAACTTCTCAAGAATTTTTCGAAAATTTCTGCATCTTGAAAGGGGTTAATATAAGCATCCCTAAGTAATGTTTTTCTACAACTTTTTTATTTGTCAAAAATTGGATATTCAAAAATACGTGTCAAAATCAACCGTTTATTAACAAAACAATTAAATTCATTATCATTCGCATTATTGCAACCAAGAAATATTTAAGAAGGCGGCTGGATATTCCTGAGTATTGAGGTTATTGGGAATTTATTTAAAACAGTTTTCCTTCTAGATTTCTTTGTATATTCTACATTTGCGGCATTATCAAACCATTTTTAACCAGTATTTCATTTAAAAATAAAGAATAGCTAATTCAAATGCATTAATATTCGGAAAAAAATTTAGGACACCTTGTATAAAATGTTCTATTTTCTTATGAAACCGACCTAGTTAAGATAGCCTTAAATTGCTTGAAAAACAAACTCCCAATATGGGACATATTTAAATTTGAAAGTATAGTGACCAAAAATATTTTCTTAAAAAAAAATTCACCTTTGTGCGCTGCACATTTTTGCAACAGTCTCATTAATATTCCCAAAAGGGAATCCCTTCATATACATTTTTAATTACACTTTTTTTTTATTTATAGAACTACCATGAGAATGGGACCCATTACCAATTTTGTGACTAAGGGAGGCAGTCAGAAGTGGAATCTTCCTTTTTATTTGTACCTTAAATTAAAAAAATTTCACATATTGCAAGGTATTTTAATCCACAAATATAGATTGCTCGATCCTAATTTACCTAGACATCAAAATTGCACTCCTAACGAGTTACATCCCCTTGAAATTGAAATAAAGAAAGTAAAAATACAAATTTTATATCTAGATAAATCCAGATCAGGCAATCTACAAAGTGATTCAGTCATAATATCATTAATTTTAAGGGAAGATATGGGAAAATGAGTACAATATGAATACGCTTTTAAAAAATTTTTTAAATGCATATTTACGCAAAAAAAATTTCAAATCATTATTCGCTTCGGCTTGCTCGAAATTGAATCGGCGAGTTCAAAACCGCTACGCACTCAAAAATTTTTAATATCTCAGCTTCTAGAGGTCCGACAACAATTAACGTATTTTCAAATGCCTATCGTGGTCTTTCAACAGTCCGATAATTTATTTATCTTTAAACTTCCTTTAATTATCAACTTTATTTTTTTATTGTATCAATGGTAAGTGCATAAGCTTATATACTGTTTATCAAAGATCAAAAACAAATGTATTTAAATATTCTAAAATTGTTTAAACAACAATTATTTTCAAAATATTACTAATTAATTATTAATTTATTCATCATTTCTTTTGTGATTAAAGTTTAATTCAAATATTATTTACTGTTTAAAATATAAGCAAATGAGAAATTAACTCGTTATATTTATTACAAAAATACAAAATTATAGTACAAAAATTCGACCAATGTTTAAACAAGCGCCAGAGCTCTCCTAATTGACGGATTCGAATTTTTCAAAAAGCGTTTGTAAGCTTGTGAGCCCTTCTATATGTGATTGAGTTTTCAAGTATCTAAGGGCCTTGGTTTTTGCTGTACAAAATTTTGAAAATTTGCAATTTTTTTTTCAAATTCTTGATTGCAAAATTATTATGCAAAATCTATAGAACCGATTTTGATGAAATTTGGTGTCATAATTCTACATAACATGAACTTTTCTTGAACCAAGTATGAAGGACCTATACCCAACTTAAAAACCCCCAAAAATTCCCTAAAAAGTAATGTTTTTTCAGCACATTTTTGACGATTTTTTCAATTTTTACAATAATAATCGTGATTCATTCGATTTGTAACTAGTCATATTTTGTAAAATTTAATTACAAACATTTTTTCCTCTTCCATTTTCGCCTAAATTCAACTCTTGAAAAGATACATAATTAAATAGGAAGAAAAATATTACATTTTTCGAATTTTTTTGACATACTGTGCCGCCAAAAGTTAAGCCCACGTTTATTTTTATACGCATAGAAAAATTTTAATTTTTAGTGATATTTGAAAGCCAAAAAGCCAAAAATCTCCGTGGATATACGATTCACCCAAATATGGACTCTTTGAAACTGATACCGTCTGGACTATACTTCATCATCTGTTACCCTAAGCACTCCAATTCCTTATCTTCATAATCGTTAATTGAGGCGGACCACAAAACTGCAATTTCGCTTGGAATGCGACAGCTGGGATTTCAGAATGTTTCTGCTGTAAAAAATCGAGGTCAGTGCTTTTTACACTGTATTATGATAATGTAAAACAAATTAAATATGTATGTATGAACTACAATTATGTCAATTTCTTGCATGGAACTTTAACATTATACGAATAGCAGCAATTTACACGAACATGTTGACGGGCATTGAAAACTGTAGAGGTGTAAATATTTAAAATTCGCATAATTTTTTCTTCGGAAAAGAAAACTATAAAGATAAATCATCTGTTTTTGGCAAATTCCTTTTTTAGCGCCATATTTCCTGATTTTATTTTCTTGCTTCGCTGAAGTGAACTATAGTATTTCTAATGTTAGCTCTGCACCAACTGACAAACACGATTTGATAATTATATAGCGTACAATTAGGAGCGTTTTGCATCTCATATGCGGATGCCTGTAGCCACAACAGTTCTGGGTTCACATAGACGTACTTGTGAATTTAGTCAGGGGGCTGATATGTACACTCAACGATGGAATCGTAATTTAATTTATTCACAGTTACCTTATAATCGGACTTTTATCCATGTGAACCGTCAAAAGTGATACTTTATCCACTAGTGAAAATTGCGAAAATGTTTAAACAATCACCACGGCTCACCTAATGGTTCGATTTGAATTTTTCAAAAACCATTTTAAAGCTTGAGAGCTCTTCTTTTTGTGGTGAAATTTAAGTATTCAAAGGCTTTAGATTTTTAGAAATTTGATTTTGAAAATTTTTGTAATATAAAAAAATAAAAAATTTAAACA